CACACACACACACACACACACACACACACACACACACACACACACACACACACACACACACACACACACACACACACACACACACACACACACACACACATATATATATATATACACACACACACACACAAAGAGAGACTAATTCAAAACTTGAAATGTAAATCTAGGCTTCCAGTCAAATAACAATTTCAAAAGAAATACTACACAAGGGTAATACATAACAATATTGCCATTTAACATGGCTTCCAATTCAAACTCCTTTAGTTTATCCTTGCCCCGCTCACATGCTAAGTATAATCATTGCAGTCCAATCACGAGGAAACATGAAATAGTAAATTAGTAATTCAAAACAATCAACTATATAAGAGTTATCTAACTATACTATAACTTGGTTGTTGGAGAGGATAAGCAAATTCTTTCTTCTTTGTCTCTATATGTATCCAAAATCAGTAGAGGGGAATGTTGCATGATGAACATGATTAGATGTACGCGTTTTATTGGATGTTGTATGAAAAATGAAAGTTGTAGTTCTATGTATGTTGATTGCATATGACATATGTAGATGTTTATATGGTGTTGGATGATGATGAGCATATGTATGTTGTATGTATGTATGATGCTGTTGATCTCTACATATATTGATTAAATGTGATGTATATAGATAATGTATGGTGAGGTGTGAATACTAAGAACACGATATGATATTAAGGCATGTTGGCTAATTTAGGACTTAAGGAATTGGATGTTGTATGAAAAATGAAAGTTGTAGTTCTATGTATGTTGATTGGATATGACATATGTAGATGTTTATATGGTGTTGGATGGTGATGAGCATATGTATGTTGTATGTATGTATGATGTTGTTGATCTCTACATATATTGATTAAATGTGATGTATATAGATGATATACGGTGAGGTGTAAATACTAAGAACACGATATGATATTAAGGCATGTTGGCTAACTTAGGACTTAAGGAAAATAAATTATTTTGAAAATTGAAGATCTCATATAGGGAATCTTTGAGTGGTGCTCAAGTAGGTCAGTATTGAAAAACCTTCCTTAGGTAGTTGTGTCTCTTGGAGTGAGTTTCTAAGGTGTATTGATGTTTCTTTTAGGTCCTTAATTAGTAGTTGAGTAAGGTAGGGGGTCGATGACTATAACCCTTAGCCAAGTATTTGAAAAGGTTGTGTGGTCCCTTGAGGAAGACCAATGAGTTAACTTCACATGTAACTTGGTAATGTATGTCAAAGTTGTGGTACGCCTATACCCAAATGTACAATTCCTAATGGTGAAATCGTACTTTCCTAATGTAAGTGACAAAATCCAAGAAATCAAATGAAAATTTGTTATCCCATTTTGTTGTGATCGAGCTGACACTTCGGGTGCGAAAATAATTGAGTTAGTTTGGTAGGATGAAATCACTTAAGCTGCTTATGCTGTTAGGAGATCTTCATAGATAAATGTGTGATGACACATTAGTTAAGATATATGCATATAATGTATGCTTTGGTGTGTTCATATGCATTATTACATGTTTTGTGTGATATGGTTTGGATAGATATATGTTGGCTTTGGGAGTGTCTAGCTCGCATATATGGTTGTAGTGTGACGTTGCATGATATATAATTATTTTTTTATGTTTACATGTTTTTGAACTCTAATTGATCCTTTTGTTTCCATGTGCTTTGAACTTGATGATCATACATGATATGAGAATAAAACAGGGTTAGACTTGAGAAGATGTAAGTGAGGCCCAATTGGCAATGGAGGTGGCTTTGTTAACTTGTGTATGCGTGCTTAACCAATATTAGACATTGTTAGTGTCGATGCTACCTTGTGTAACTTGTATATGCGTGCTTAACCAATATTAGAGTATACAATTTATTTTGAGATTACTGTACGCAAGTTTATATAACTAATTTAGATTTGTACATGTGTTTAACTTTTATACTTATATTCATATGTACTTCTTTCTTCTACAAACTTGATATATTCACAACATGATTTTTTTTATATGCAAATGAAACAATTATCTTTATAGAATTTTTTAGATATAATTTTTAATAAAATATTCAAAATTAATATCGCCATTCTAAATTTTACAACCGGTTGTTAATTGTTTCACGTGTTAGGCAAACAAATGACATATATTTTTTTTTATCAATAACAATTGACATAATACATGCATGTAAATGACAAATAGATACATATTTTTGCTTGTATGCGGATGAAAACAAAAATATTATAACGAAGAACCGGGAAAAGAGAAATCTCATAAAATTAGTTGTATTTTTTTTTAATTTTTTTTTAATAATTAGGAGGTATAACTTCTCCAAATAAATTGATTATGTTAAAAAGTAAGGTGATATCTTTAATTATGAATTTTTGTTTAAAATAAAATTTTATATTTATAATAAATTCAAACTCAATCTCTAATAAAAAAATATCAAAATATTTGTGCTAAACTTTTAATCATAAAATCAGAAAATCAGTTGTTTAAAGAACTAAATGAAATCGTATATAAAACTAGTTTACAAACTTTATCGAACAAGGAAAGAAATGAATCAAAGAATCAAATAAATTTTCATGAGAGGGCAACAAAAGAAGTTAAAATAAAAAGAAAAAAGAATACGTGAACTTATTGAATAGGTTCTATATTAAAAAAAAAAAAATTATCATCTTATATATAGATAAGTGTCCGTTTTGTAACATTTGTTTCACCAAAGGTTTCCGTGTCATGTGCGGTCTTTAATTTTCATTTTATTTCCAAACCCAAAAATATACACGCAAAACACGACCTGCGCGTATTTAGTATTTATTGTTGATTCTTACATATTTTATTTTTTATTTGTTTAATTATTTTAATTAAAGCCAACTAACACACTTTTTCTCTCTCTCCTTTCTTCTCTCTTTCTCTCTTTCTCTGTCACAAGTCTCAAAACTCTGTTCTTGCCTTGTCTGATTCTCTCTGAACCACACACCGTTACCGGCGAGCTTAATCTCGCCGGAAAATTGCCCTACGCTGGCCGGAATCTGCAACCTTTTTGACTTTAGCTCTGAATTCCGATTCTGTTTTCCCTCTCTTGTATTTTTTTTGTACCCTTGACTCTTCAAAAACAACCAAACGTAAAAAAGAATTTGTTTTTCTTCTTTTTATCTTGGGCTGAGATTTCTGGGTAAGCAATGCAGAGAGAGTGATGAGATTTTTTAGAAAAAAAATGAGATCCTATTTCTGAATTCCTTATGTTATAGACCTCTTTCAAGATTCAATTTTTTCTTCCTCTCCGTGTTCCCTTTCAAAAGTTTCGTATGAGAAGGTGGTTGAATTCCGTGGAGAAAAACAGGAAGAAAGATTTTGGATTTTTTGTGTGTTTAAATTGAGGTGAGAATTTTGTCTGGTTTAAAATATTATAATCTGTTTATTTTTATTTTTGCTTTCGATTAAATAACAATTTTTTTTTTTTTGAGTAATATTGCCTTGGTGTTTCTGAGTTTGGGATTATAACCTGTTTATGTTCATCATCATTGATTCCTCCTTTGAAAAAATGGGTTTTTGCGCTTGATCTGTACATGTTTAAGGCTTTTCTCCTAGTTTTTCTTTGTCCCCTTAGGAGGCAAAGTTGCAATATTGAATGTTTTGAGGCTGATGTCTTTTTATTTTCATTATTTTGTTGGTTTGAAGCTGCCGGTTATTCCTTATGTGCAGTTGAATAAGATTTTCCTAATTTGTATGGATGGTTTTGTATCAATTTCCTACATTTTCTTGGGTTCAATTGTTTTAGGTCTTTGGTAGGTAAGCAACGACCTTTCTTCTTTCCCCAATATCATCCCTTTCCGGTGGTATTTAGTTGGAGATGCAACTAATTTTGCATTGATCTCTTTGGATTTTTGGCATGTAGAATCTAGGTAGCATACTTTTTTTTTTCTCCTGATAGTCAAGAACTTGGGACAACTGAGATGTTCTGGGTTTGACATGGCATCAAGTTTATTTTTATTTTTTTATTTTTTTTCTTGCTGTTATCTGCACTTTCCCTTGTGAAGCAAATGACCTTAAATTTATTTCTAATATATAAGGATGAGTAGAGCCCGAGGAAGCTAGCAAGTGGGGATTTTTTGAGCAATATTACTATTTTTCCAGTTTCCAAATTCACTGGACGGAGCCTGCAGGATGCCTTTTCAAATCATGGATCAGAGGGGTGTTTCAGCTTCATCCCATTTTTTTGATGACATTTCCTTTCGTTCTGAGGTATTTTACTGTTTATTTCCCTGTCTTTCTCAATTTAGTTTCTTGAACTTCTAAAATGTGACCCCAAGAATTTAATGATCTTCGGATCCATAAAACACTGTACAGTTTTATTAAACTTGGGGTCTTGTTTTCAAAATGTTACTATTTTAACTTCTCTCTGACCTTCAATGCTATTGCCTTTATGACTCGTTGGTTTTCTAAACTTGTCCTGAACTCTTTTTTTGGGGCAGAGGAATGTTGGATTACGAAAGCCAAAATCCATTAATGACCATTACCCACAAGGTGAGGACCGATCCATCTATTATTTGTTCAACGTTGTTCTATACATTGTACTGGTTGACTGTATAATCACCCAATATTTCTAACATATTTATTATTCTTGAGACATTGAATGGATTATTCAAATTTTACTTCTGCATATTTTATATGGTACCTCAGCTCTCAATTCTGTACATTTCCATTTTAGGACTTTCCAGCCAATATTTCTTTCCCTTCTGCTTTGGACTTCTTGTAAATGTTTGGGTGCCCATGGAGCAAGTGATTATCAATGTTAACAAGCAATTGGCTATAATATGAGTAATTGTCAAAACTGAAATCCTAAAAATAATATTATTTCCATTTATGGTGATTAATTGATTATACTTGAGCATTTTAGGACGTTTGAGTCAAGTTTCCTCTCACTTTTTGCTTTCAACAATATATAGATGTTTGGTTGCTCCTGAATCTGATATGATGATTATCAGTATCAATCAATATAGTAAAGTACTTTAAATGGTTGATTGATGTCAAGCCAAAAACTATTTTTCCTGTTTGTGGTTAACACCATATTGCTGCAAATTTTACCGAAATAATGCATGCACCAGTCTGCATCATGTTCTTGCAACTTTGTAATTAGTGGCATTGCTTTTAGCAGCAGAGAAAATAAAGGTTGTTTCATGAAGATAGATACAGCATTCTGCTGCATTGAAACTCATACATGTGCTTTTGTTATTGTGATATTATTTGTGATTTCATGGTTTTTATTTTTTGTGTCCATATTTGTGTGTCATACATGTATGTCAATTACTATATTACTTTATCTGCAAAACATGTTAGTAATTACTGGATGTGTAAGTTGTGCTATTTTCATTTTATCAGGAAGCAATGGAATGGTAGCATCACCTGGCACCATTTTGAATGCTACACCACCCATTGATGTAAATGCAAAATCTGGCTTGCTGATGTCACAGGCTAGTCTACCTGGGGTTAATATAGATTCCAAGGAATCGTCTCATTATCGTCCCAGATCATTGTCTGATGCATGTCTGCATTCAGCACCTACCTCACATGGTTTAATTGGAAGCAAGATTGTGACCAATGCTGCCCCTTGTGAAAGTAGTTTATTCTCTAGCTCCATGTCTGAGATATTTAGCCAAAAGTGTAAGTCTGTGTTTCATGCCTTCTGAGCTTGCATGTATGATGGGTATTGTGGCATAGTTAAGTGATAAGTACTAATGTCCTTTCACCTGTTTATGAAGTTATTTCTTATCTGTTTAAGTTTTTTTTTTAATTTTTTTATAATATCTTTTTAAGGTTTTATGATTTTACTTTTGTTAAATTGATATCCTTATCTGTCTGCTTATTTGCTTATTTTGGTGCAGTAAGGTTATTTGGGAATGATGTTCTGTCTGATCAGCCCATTACTGCGGGTTCTCATCCTGAAGAAGAACCATATAAATCTCTTGAAGAAATGGAAGCTGACACTATAGGGAATCTCCTACCTGATGAAGATGATCTGTTTTCTGGTGTTGTTGATGAGTTAGGATGCAGTTCTCATGCCATAACAAATGATGATTTTGAAGATTTTGATCTGTTTAGCAGTGGTGGAGGCATGGAGATGGAAGGAGATGAACATTTAAGTTCAGGAAAAAGATTGAGTGGTCTCGATGGTGATTTTGGTTTCTTTGGAGGTTGTAAAGGAAAACTTCCTTTTGGTGAACAGCCTTCTAGAACACTTTTTGTTAGAAACATTAATAGCAATGTAGAAGACTCTGAGCTAAAGGCTCTCTTTGAGGTGCGTCTACATTCTTCCTTGCTGCAAGATGTTATCTTAGAATTCCCAGGAAGCATTTCATACCATTAATCATAAAATGTAAATGGACTATTATGTTTGTTATGGCAGCAATATGGAGATATCCGAACCATTTATACAGCTTGTAAGCATCGCGGGTTTGTTATGATTTCTTATCATGATCTAAGGGCAGCACAAAATGCAATGCAAGCACTTCAAAATAGGACATTGAGATCTAGGGAACTTGATATACATTATTCAATTCCAAAGGTATAATATTAGTAACTCCAGTATGCATAATTCCGTTTCCATTGCTATGATTTGGATAAAGTTGGTTATTATTGTTGTTTTTATCTTCTTAGCAGTTAGTATTACAATGATGTGATCTGCCTTTTCAATTGCTTTGTCTTCCTGCTTTTATGCTTTGGTTATAGATGTATTTTAACTTGAAGACATGTTAGGTCAATGCTCCAGAAAAGGATATTGGCCATGGCACACTGATGTTATCTGGACTTGATTCATCCATTTTAAATGATGACCTTAAACAGATTTTTGGATTTTATGGAGAAATTAAAGAAGTAAGTTGTTCATTGTTGGTTTTCCCCTGTTTTAGTTGCTCGTGTTTTATTTAGATAATACAATGTTCCTTGAATATTATGACTTTCATTGCAGATCTATGAATATCCAGAAATGAAGCATCACAAATTTATAGAGTATTATGATGTCCGAGCTGCTGAAGCTGCTCTCCGTGCACTGAACAAGATTGACATTGCTGGGAAGCAGATCAAGCTTGAACCTGGCCATCCAAGGTTTGAAACATGGTGGCTAGACCCACTTTATTTTATTTTATTTTTATAAATTGAATTTCTTCAATAATTTGTAGAAGCTCTTGTAATGGTTTTCTATATTTTACATGTGCCTTTCTAAAAATGATATTATGTAGATTTTTTTATATAATATTTTGAATATGCATATCTAATTGTTATCACCTTTGATTGCTGTCTTTTTTATTTTTTTTATTATTTTATGGTTAATGGAATGCAAAGTTGTTATAGATCACCTTGATGCAAAACTAGTTACACTTTCCTTCTAAGAAACTATTTTCTTCTGTTAATAACCATGGAAACCTTGCTTTTGTAGTTTGATGCACCAGTCTAAGGGGCAAGATGAGCGAGATCTTGGTCAAAGTATTATTGACAACTTATCATTAAGACAAAAGGGTAAGGTTTTACCTGCCTACACTTATTTTTTTCCCAGGAAGCAAATGCTCTTGGTCTCACTAGTCATCATTTACAGCAACAGTGTCTTCTGGAGTAATTGGATCTGGCTGCTTGGAAAATGGATATAATCAGAGATTTCAATCTACAGTTCGACAACCTTTGAATACATTTATTGATAATGCATTCATTCATGCGAATTCTGGCATTCACAACACTGTGAGAGGGGCATCTGCACCTAGTTCAAGATTTCATCCTCATTCATTACCTGAGTATCGTGACAGTTTAGCTAATGGTAGTCCTTATAACTTCTCTAGCTCCATTAGCAACATGGCTAACAATATAGGTGCTGGAGCAACAGAAGCCTCTGATGGCAGGCATATTCAGGGAATGAGCTCATCTGGGAGCATAGCAGAGTTTAATGCGGGAGGTTAGTGCATCATATGATTATGTGCTAAGAAAGCTCAATGTATAATTTTTTTTTTGGGTAACAGTTTTTAAATTAATTACTGTCTACAGAAAATTGTTACTTGAAGACTAGAGGGTAAAATTGTTTATTTGACAGCATCCTAGCAATTTAAAACTTTACAATAATGGGCTTGGTTGTTAAGGAATATGCATACGCATAGTATTTTAATAAGCCCAGAAATCTTCTTTCTTTTTTGGAAATACAGCAAAAGTGTTAATCATGATTAAAAATCTAACTGTTGGTTTGAATGAATTTAGAGTTGCCAGGCTATAGATGATTAAGACTTTCTAATTAAATATGGGTCTTCACTTCAGCTATTGTACCAATTTCTAAGTGGTTTGAGCTGGGTAATTGTAGGCTGAATGCAACACATTTGTAATGTGGAGTTAACAGTTTGACATTTAAATCTTGATGTGACATCTTTGTTTTATTTTGGTTCATCAGGAAATGGGATACGCCCACCTCATGGACTTTATCATATGTGGAATGGCTCCAGTTTGCAACAGCAACCATCATCAAGTACCATGCTTTGGCAGAAATCGGCATCATTTGTTAATGATGCTTGTCCTCCAGGCATTCCACAGATGTCAAGTTTTGCTAGAACACCGCCTCATATGCTGAGAACACCACATATGGACCATCATGTTGGATCAGCACCAGTTGTTACAGCCTCACCCTGGGAAAGGCAAAATTCTTACTTGGGAGGATCCCCTGAGGCTTCTGGTTTTCGCTTGGGTTCTCTAGGAAGTGGAGGAGGTTTTCATGGTTCCTGGCAATTTCGTCCACTGGATTTTCCTTCTCACAATGTGTTTTCTCATGTTGGTGGGAATGGCACTGATCTAGCATCCACTGCTGGACAGAACTCTCCTAAGCAGATATCTCATGTTTTCCCTGTGAGGCATCCCATGTCTTCAATGTCAAAGTTCGATGCTACCAGTGAACGAATGAGAAACCTTTATCACCGTAGAAATGAAGCAAGCCCCAACAATGTGGATAAAAAACAATATGAACTCGACTTGGGTCGCATATTGCGTGGGGAAGACAGCCGGACTACACTTATGATAAAAAATATTCCCAACAAGTATGTTAATTGTCTCCCCAGCTTTTTGGATCTTCTTGCTGTTTACTTAATTTTCTGTCTTCAGTTGAATGTCACTCTGGTAAAACTTAGTTACTTTGAAGGCATTATTTTATTTTTATTGATTATTTTAAGAGCCGGTAAATATTAACATAAACATATGTTTTACATTTAATGGTTTTATCCAGGTTAGCAGTTATCGTTTGATTCTTGACTTTTTAATTTTGAAGTACTAGAGTTCTTGCTTGCTAATGCTTCCATGGATTCACTTATGCATGCCTGTGCTCATTTGACATTCTCCTGATTTGACCTGTTTTTGTTTTTTTATTTGTTTTTTTGTTAGATATACTTCAAAGATGCTTCTTGCTGCCATAGATGAGCAATGTAAGGGAACTTATGATTTTCTGTATTTACCGATTGATTTCAAGGTAAGTATTTTTGGTTGGTTGATTCTTTGCTTTAGAGAATAAATCATAAATATGTTACTAAATCAATTCTACAATGGTTGCAGAACAAATGTAATGTTGGCTATGCCTTCATAAACATGATTGATCCTGGTCAAATTATTCCTTTCCACCAGGTTATTCGGACGTTCTTATGTAATATTAATTTCAGCTATTTATCTATATACTATGAATTTGAACTAAATAAGAACTATTTTGCAGGCTTTTGATGGGAAAAAATGGGAGAAGTTTAATAGTGAAAAAGTAGCCTCACTTGCATATGCCCGAATTCAAGGAAAAGCTTCTCTTATAGCTCATTTCCAGAACTCAAGCCTGATGAACGAAGACAAACGATGCCGTCCTATTCTCTTCCATACAGATGGTCCAAATGCTGGTGATCCGGTAAATCAGACTTGTTCTTTAGTTATACTTATTTTCCAATTGTCAACTGCTGTTTACCAAGGAGCTAAGATTGCAGAGTTTGGTGGTTTAAACCTTTTCTTGCATGATGTGCATTTTACAATAAAAATGACAGTGTTTTGTCTATGCAGGAGCCATTCCCCATGGGTGCCAATATTAGACTGAGACCTGGAAAATCTCGCACCGGTGGCAACGATGGCCAAGGGAGTCCGTCAACTTTGGAAAGTGGAGAAGAGTGTGCTAATGGGATAGACCCTTCAAGAAACTCTTAACTGATCTAGCCTTCCTTGGGCACTAACTGTTCAATATTGCACCATAATGTCCCCATGTCTGTATATTGACATTTTCTTAGAGCCAGCATGGAAAAGGGGCTCACAATTTTTTTGCCTATAGAGGAGCCTTAAACACAAGTTTTTTGAGGCTTAGGTACATAACCAGAATCAAGTCACTGATTGTAGTAACATTCTGTAATTTCCTAAATTTTTGCATGGAGTCCTTCTACCTTCTCACAATTTAGAGAATGGCTTAACTGAAGCTCAAATTTTTTGTTAGCTGTGAAGGGACGATGTCACCACCATGTGCATTAAGTTCCCTTCAGAATTGCGGGGTTCAAAGGAACTATTGTGGATTGTGTTTCATTATTGTTGTCATGTTGTTCATATGTATTTTTTTAAATTTTTTTTAAAAAAATTCTGGGGCGTTTGTGCCCTTAAGGGATCAATTTTTGTCTATAAAAAGTGATTAAGTGAATGTTGAGGAACATCTTAGTTTTACACTTATATTTAGAACATTTTTATTTCTGTTGCAGTTCTCTGAAATTCTCATGGCCTTAATTGCGCTTACCAGTGATTTGTTTTCTAAGCCATCAATAGTGCTGACTTTCTTAGCACTTCTTTTGAATCTGAAGAAAACGAAGAACAGGATCTTTTTATTTATTTATTATTATTATTATTATTTTTTAAATGAAAGTTCTAATAAAGAATTTTAAAAATCAATAAACAATATAATTTTTATTATTTTAAAAAAAATCTTCCTTGGTTATTTCTTCCTTTGTTCAGAGGCTTAAGACGAATCCATGAAATGGGGGTGATTTTAATTTTTTTTATACACAGATTTGTAGATCAGATTAAAAAAAAAAAACTAAAGATTCCAACTCCTTGAACTCGATAACCACCAGTGCACTAGACAAGGATGTGTTTGACAAATTTTATCGAGGGGTGAAAAATTAGCTGAAAGATAAAATATGTTGATAAATAATTTGATTAAATTAAAACGATTGTTTGATAAGAAAAGAAATGTTATTTTGCATAAATTGCACTAAGAGAGAAAGAGACATAAATATAAAAATAATGTTGTGTTATCACATCTCTTGATAAAATGAGTAGTTGAGCACTTGAATTGTTTTTTAGAACATGGTCTAGACAGCGTTTTAAAATTGACTAATTTATATTTGTAAAATGTGATTTTTGTTTGATCAGTTACACAAAGGTAAAACTATAAACAATTACATAATTAATTACTGTGTCATGATATAAAATGTTTTTATTTTGTAACAAATTTTTTAAATAATTATAAATTTCATTTTTTAATTATTTATGATCTTAAAATTAGAATAAAAATGTTTTAATTTTATATATAAATACTTTTATTAAATGAAATGAGATTATATAAATAAAATATCTGATTATTTTGACAATTTTATATTACAGAAAATGAGATTTAATAATTTTGTTGAATCCATTTCAAGAAATTAGCAATTTATTACTTTCTGAAGTAATGAGTATCTGTGATGCTATTATTTGTTTTTTTGTATGTGACAATGTCAATTTCTTCGCAGTCTTGCGCAGAAGAATTTTGCTGTGGGATTTGAACTTGTTTAGAATTGTTTATCTACAATTTCTTTTGACTTACCAACGATATAAACATTTGTGTAACTGTTTAAAAGTTCATGAAAATAACTTATAACATGTTCTTTTTGTTGGTATAAATAGAAGGCATAAGTCTTTTTTAATCGTCCGCCAACTTGGACATAAATATTTTTTTAACTAAATAACACACTTAAAAAATTAATGAATTTAGTTAAAAATATTAAATTTGCCAATGATTTTAATTTAAATTACTTTTTAAAAAATATTTTTTATTTCATTTAATTAACTAATGTTTAAAAAATAGATATGTATGTGTTTATTTATCTTCTTCAATCTTAAAAAAAAGGGAGCTTTATCCTCTTAATTTTAAACATTCTTCTTTATCTAAAAGTATTATTATTAATAAATTAAGAATATATTAGAAAATATATAATTAATGCAACTAATAATTAGAAAATTATCTTATAAAAATAATAACTAAAAAAGTAAAAATGGTCCTATATATATGGACAAATGTAATACTTTTAGTTGTAATTTTATATTTAAACTATGGATCAAATCTCAATTCATATTTAAATAACACAAATGTCAATTTTTTTATACTAACAACTTTTCATATCTATAAAATGTTTTTAACTTATTTTTAATAACTTATCTAATATAACTTGTGAATATATATATATAT